GAAGACCTTGTCAGCCCACCAAGAGCCTATCTCTTTATTCTTACTTTTTTCACCAAGGGCAAAAGAAAATAATATTCTGTATTCTCAATACTAGAATGTATATCAAGAAGAAATGAAGTTTACATACAAAAAAGAAACAAAACAAGAAGGGAAAAATAATAAGAAAAAAAAAAAGAGGTAATATGGTAAATATAAAAAAGAAAAAACAAAGAAATAAGCCCTAATAGGCTAAACAAAAAAAAGCTATCTCCCATGAGAAATAGCAGCTACCTCTATCAAAAAGTAGCACAAAAATGAACAAAAAAATAAAAAAAGGAAAGTGTACTATTATAACCCATGCCAGGTTTAAGAAAAAATTTTATAACAACTGCAATATTTGTATATCTCAACTATAAAATTTAACAACTTATTATCTGACTAATGGCCACCTCCAGATGCCTCTTATACCAGAGACCCAATCCTAGTTATGTGGAGGTCCCATATTCATAGACTATATCACGTATTGTATTCACCGATAAACAAGACACTGGTTGCATTCCTGGGTACATCTGAATTTGGGAAGTAAACAATGCTGATCTTTTGAAGAGGATAAGCCAAATCGCCTACTTTTTGTTGAAAATTTTGGAGAAGACCAGCCAAGCAAAAAACATCTAGGGAGAGACCACTTGCACTCAAGAAAAGTAGTTATATCTATGCAAAGACTCAACAATATCTAAACCTTCTTCTAAGAAAGAGGTGGGGCACCTATACTCTTTTTTCAGAGAGTGATAAACTCTGGGCTTGTTGGCAAGTAGCATATGTGAACTACTTCTAAATGACAAGTGCCATGCAAGCAGTGAGTGATAAACTCTGAAGAAGTTAGCAGGTAGCGTATAAGAACTATCTCTAAATAACAACTGCCGACTTATAGCCAAGTGTGCCCTCCGTTTTTTACTAAACACTATTGTGTTTTTTACAAAAAATGTGATTAGATTTTTGATACAGATGATCGTTGGAAAGAGTTGATTTTACAACTATTGGTTTAAGAGATAATTATTATTTAAAAAAAAATTTTTTAAATATCTTTATTTTAATAAAAGTAGATTAAATATAAATTTATAAAATTTTAGCAGACAAATTTCTTGCTAAACTGAATAGTTTAAGAGAGATATATTATTATATAATATAGTATATATAAAAATATACAAGTAGGGTGTAGCAACTTAGTGAAGTGGTAGAGTTGTTACTCCTCAAGTGGCAAGTTTAAAGTTCAAATCCCAGGGATGATGATATTGAAAAATGGACCTGTGTTCGGTATGATTATCTACTGATCGGTTGTTTGGTACACTATCTAGAATAGGAGCTTTGGTGTATAAAATCCAGATAATTGGGATGATCAATATCTGTTTGGAAGCCTTGAGTAAGGAGGTAGCCAAAACCTTCAATGGTACTACAGGAAAAACTGAATTTGGAAGTTAGGACCAAGACCAATGAACCGAACGATAAAAGATTCTTAAGTGGGGGGATCCACCAACTGAATTGCCAATTCAAAAAAACTAGGAATTAACAAATATATACGGTGCATACCAACAGGGTTACTGGCCTGGGAAACTGGTAGCAGGGGCCTTATCCTAGCAGACCTGTGGATTGGAAGACACAGGTCAAAAAAATAGGCTGGGTATGCTAGAGGACCAGAAACTCCTGAGTTGGAGGAAAAGAACATATACTACGAAAATATGAACCAAGATGAGACAGGCCAAAGGCATCTAGAGCTGGGTCAAAGTTGAACCTTTCAGGTTGTCAGTTGGAAGTAAGGGATGAACTGGTTAGAGAATAATGAAAAAAAAAAAGTTCGAATGTGGGTATCAGGATAGAAAGTGAATCTTATAAGAGCATAGCAATCACTAAGCTATACTACAAGTGGAATCTTTAGAGATTGTAATGACTAGGCTGGCTAGAATGGGGTACAGAAAGCTCTAGTAGGTTTACCTCAAGGATAGCTGTGGTATCCACTCAATGAAGAAATGCAAGCCAGTAATTAGTCGATACAAACCCAGGATAAATCCACGAAAGTCCTAAGGTGAGATGCAAAATTTACTGAGAATGAGCTGTAATTGTGGTAGTCCTGTGGTTAGAATAAAATAGTATATATAGTGAAGATTAGAAGGTTTAAATGGGTAGTCCTAGTTTGAGCTGCAGGTACAGGCATCTAGTGTAAATGGCGCAAAAAGTGCAGTGGCTATTTGTATCTTCGTTGTAACCAGTATCATTGATTTCTAATAAAAAGTCTCCCTTGGCCAAAGAGGTCACCTTAACACTGAAAAAAAAAGAAATATACAAGTATAAATTAATCTCAGGATCCAGTAATTGAATTTTTATAATTTTAAACTTGTTAAAATCCTCTCTTTAAGAGAAGCATTTTGATAGTTAAATCACTCATATTATTAATTTTAACTATATATTTATTATAATAATTTATAAAATTTGATTGGCTAATGGTGTTAGGTGTAGGTAAGTGGGTAGCCTATTAGTAAAGATAAATTGGCTGATTTCTGGAAGCTCCCTTACCACCAGGTGTTCTAACACTTAAAATATTTTCTTGGTTGTCCTATCTTCTCGATATTTCAGATGAAATTTCGCACGTTTTTCTGATTTTTTGTGCTTCACAATACTTTGTTGTTGATATTATCTTGCTCAAACATACAAAAATGAGACTTATTTATAAAAATATTAAATCATCGACAATAATGTAATAATAAATTTGACATTCTTCGTCATTAATAATCAAAAAATAAAAAATACTTACTATTGTTTAATATAACAATAAGTAAAATGAATAACAAAGCAATAGATTTAATTATGAATACAGTACTGTATTGTAACTTCTCAAAAATAGTAGGCATAGACGTTATTTTGAGCTACGGCCTGAATTAAGTTTAATTTGAGCCTTCGAAATTACACCCTGAGCGTTATTTGAGAATTTACGGCAAGTGATATCAAAGTTTAAAAAAGAGGGGTGTGGAAATAAAAATTATCTATGGTATAATTCTCCTCTATAAAACATATATTACATGTAGGTTGTTTTTTTTTTTTGCTGTCTAATATTGTACTGTAGAATCTTAAAATTATTTTAAAAGAATCATTCGTTAAAATAATTATTATTAGTAAAATCATCTATAAACACCTAGAATTATCCCTTTGCTGAGATTTTAAGATATTGATTTAAATCATTATATTATCTTTCACGTATTGTTTTATTGTTTTCATATCGATACTACTTTGTAGTATTCAATGGGCATAAACCATTATCTGTCAGGAGACTATTCATTAAAAATTGAATATTATTAGGAGTAATTATTGTTCGTTGATCAGGAATGTGATTTTCTGCGAAGAAGGATCAATAATTTTTCGGCTATAAAAAATAAATCTTGCAGCCTTTATTTTTGCTAATATTTGTACAAAGACAACATGCTATGATATTTTTAGCAGGCAAGTTTCGTATAAACTATACGCGTTTTTTTTCCTCATAATTTGCAATTCAGAAGTTTGATTCATTTATTCATTTATCAGAACAAACCGGATAAGGTGGATAAAATAAAACCCGTAATACAATCAGGAGTAGCCGGATAAATAATATTATCTATTCCGAGCTCGTAGCTAAAAAAGGAATATCTTGATTACTAGTATGAGCAAATCGCGGATTCCCAAAAATCACGCGCGTGATCCGCGCGCGTTATTCGCGGGATAGATAATCTTTCAAATTTCTCTTATTTTCGGAATATTGTGGAATGACGGTTAAAATTTATCGGAATATTTCGGATTACTGGCAGCATTCGTATTATACTACGTATCCCGCGCGTGGATGACACGCGTTGCCCATCATTATTGATTACACATGAAATGCTACTTAATCAAATGAAAGACCTGAGTTCAAAAGTTCCAAATAAGTGCATAATATTAGCATAATACAAAAAAAAAGAAGATTTTTTTTTTGATGATATACTATATTAGGATTCAGAATGTTCTTGAGCAAAAAGATAAATCGCTTCTTTTATAATACAGTAATAATTATCGTTTAGGTCATTTCCACCTAACTGCTATATAGTGTAAGACAAAACTTACTAAACATAATCTACGTTTGAATAACAAGTAAAGGTTTTTTCCGATATATAAGAGAGTTATTCAAATAAGGAATGACAACCTCATCCTGGAAATAATCTAACTCAATAGACATCTATATTAAGAATGAATTTGTAAATCAAAATGATCAAATTTAAACATAGTAATGATAATAGGTTACTGTAGTATTGAACTTACGTGACGACCTTCGCAATCTTTAAATACTATTCTTCCAAACTCATCTAATGTTCTTAATCCGATCCAATCTTCTTTGTACAACTTTTGTTCACGAAGAGGTACAAGATTTCCTTCTTCATCATAGAATGAGAACCACTATAAACAAAATTAGTACATATATGTTAACATATATTACAATTAAAATTAATAATTGAAATATAACTTGAGGCTAGGGATGATCACGGCTCAATGAAACGCTATTCGAGTCGAGCCAGCTCATTTCGAGTTGAGTAGACACCACTCATTTCTAATCGAAGGTCGAATCGACTAGCCGTTTCTCAATGTATAAGAGATCATAAAAATGAGTATGATTAGACTAAATTTTGAGAGATCGATTGATTTGGAAATTTCAGTCAATTAAATTAAAATCGACATAGTGGACTTTTCGGAAACAAATATAAGATTTGATAGCAATTAAATTAGGTGATTCTTAGCGTTAGAATTGATTCTAACAGATTTGACTCACTAGAATTGAGCCGATTCGGGTCATGATCATCCCTACTTACAGCGGTATCCCCTGGTTTAAGGGTTGTATCTTCAGTGAATCTAATCAACACGAGTTTATTAAGTGTCACCAGATTCTCTTTATAAGTTACATTCTTGATTTCAAGTTCATTATTGATATCCGGCAAAAATATATTTTTTTTGAGATAGATGTCAAGCCTCCTTGGATCTTTAAAGTATTGTGCTTGAATTATATGATCCCGTACGTATCCTGAATAAGCACCTTGACTAGCTATTGATCGCATTAATCTACACCATCCATCATTTCCCTCACAACCTGGAATATCAGATACGCCTACAAAATGTGAGAGGATTAGAATAAGATGAAAAAGATGGCAAAAAGAAATAAATGTTTCTTACCATTATGTGGGGATCCGAAAGTTATCAAGTTGTACACTGGTGGATCATTGCAACGTTGGACATATGCGCTTTGTTTGATAAGGAATTACTTTGGGAGGTTTGAAGATGACAACAATGGACAAATGAGAGTGACGTTCTATGAACAAGCTTACCGAAGGAACTGACCGCCCTTAATAAACAAATAATGAAACCAATTAAAAATAATTTAAATTAAAAACAAATGTCGATTATAAATTTTAAAGTTTTATAATGAACCTTACTTGAGAAAATCCAACGGCATTGAAACCGTATTTAAGATTTTCATCATTTTTCAATTTCTCACATACACTATTAATCTATACAAATTAAAATAAAGTTAAAAGAATAATATGACTAAAAGAAACAAAAACATTAATTATTACCTCTTCGTTAATGTTACCAAAGTAACTAGCTTTTTTATCCGCACTTTCATCTTCGCCGAGCATTACTGAATATGTGTAAATTCCGGGTAAGGTATCTTTGATGATTTCCTGTATCTTACCCATGCTATCGGGATTGCAACACGAATCTCCCATTCCATGCCAGATTACAACAGGTCGATATAATGCTATGTACAAAATTAAAAAATAAACAAAAATTAAGGTAATTTTCGGAATATGTATAATTAGCATAATTTGTTACAAACCTTTTACATAGCCGGTTAATACGAGTTGAATTAGAATGAAACTTATAAAACTTGCCAAATATTTCATGATAACCGATAGTGTAAAAAATAACACAAATATACATCTATGTCATTATATATACTTCATTTGGTGAAACTTTCATTCAATTGGTTGGTTAATTAATAATTGCCTAATAGCAAACCATGTTCACTATTTTTTTTGTAACATTTATGCTTATACTACGTACAATTTACATTATTTATTAATAATAAAAACGCCATTTTTACTAATCTTATCTATAATTATTGTTTCACACATTATATCTTTTCGTCTAATTTTATACAGTATGATATGTATATGACATGACATGTGGGTATGCGCCTAACAGGATTTAGAGGATTTAGTAAAAGGAGGTTAATTGTCACGTAGCATATAAAATAAAAAATTTGTATATCTGATACGTATAAAATATATTTTTCTGTGATCACGATTCGTGATGATTAATTAACTTCCTTTTTTAACCCTATTGCTAAATGCAATTTATATCTCGAAAAAACTGGCTATCGCTATGCAATCCATGCAATAGCAAAATGCTTCCTTTTAACCCCTAGCCCCTAACTCTAAATTTACCATATAGTAATAATAATAATATAATATAATATATGTATAACTAAGTATATAGATGTATATGGTTCTGAATTGCCTATGAGAGTAGGCGTATTTGTAACATGAATTTTTAAAATATCAATGTTTGGAACAAGTCACAGAAACAATTAGGTTAAACAAAAAATTTCAATAACATTGTACGACGTATCTGGGTCTCGTCCGATAACAATCGGTGAAAATTCAGCAAAATTTTGAGTGGTGATTTTTATACGTACTATTATACTATATTTAAAGAGTCTTTGTTGTTATATAATTTACAATAACTATGTACGTGCGAACTAATAAAAAAAATCTTATCTATTTATAGTTATTACAATTAACAAAATTGGAATTGTTTTTCCTCTTATTGATCTATTTTTGTTTTGGGATAGTGCATTCGGCTCGTGCAACTTTTTCACTACCCTTTTATAATGATGATCTGTTAATCGTTTTTTCTTATTTCCTAATTTTTTTTTCATTTTTTTTTCGTTTATAAAATATAATATAAAAAATATTTATAGAGTCATATCTGCGTAACTAGTATTTGAAGGCTGGTTTACGACTAAAAAAATTCTTAAACTTTTTAAAAAAGAATTATGTTGCCGTTTAAACACGCAAATAAGGATTTATCCGAAGAAACGTTAATGAAGCTTTCAAATTCTTCAACTACTATCACTACTTTAGCTATGGATTATGAATCCTTATGGCTTGATGGAAAATGGATAAAAGATTCTACTGATCGTACTTTAATGTTTCGTGGTGTAAATTTATCTGGTTCTTCCAAATGCCCTCCAAATATACCTTCGCATGAACCTCAAGGTTTTTATGACCATAGGAATGTTAGCTTCGTCGGGAGACCTTTTCCTTTAGAAGAAGCCGACCAGCATTTGACTCGTTTAAAACATTGGGGTTTTAATTTTTTAAGATTTATTGTCACTTGGGAAGCTCTTGAGCATCAGGGACCGTAAGTAATTCAAATTCTTTATTCTCTTCCTCTTTTACAAATTTATTTATTTTATTTTTATATTTTGATTTCAGTGGTATATATGATTTTGAGTTTATTGATTATATCATAAAAATTCTTCATAAATGCAAAGAACATGGTTTCAGATGTTTTATCGATCCTCACCAGGATGTGGTATGTTATTTATTTCAATTTCTTCTGTTTTGTTAATTTTTAATTTCATTATTTTTTTTTTATTTTTTTTTATTTTTTTTATCCCGATATTATATTAGTGGTCAAGGTTTTCTGGAGGTTCTGGAGCTCCCGGATGGACATTTGACCTTGCTGGTTTAGATATGAAAAAATTTAATGCCACTGATGCTGCCATTGTTCATAATACTTATCATAATCCAAAAAATTTTCCCAAAATGGTTTGGTCGACTAATTATTATAAATTAGCTTCAGCTACAATGTTTACTTTATTTTATGCAGGAAAATTGTATGCTGAAAAATGTATCGTTGATGGTGTAAATATACAAGATTATTTACAATCTCATTATTGTGACGCTTACAAAACATTGGCAACAAAAATTTGTGAGGCTGGCCTTCATGATTCTTTAGTGATTGGTTATGATTCTATGAATGAACCAAGTTGGGGTTTTGTTGGTGCAAAAGATTTGAATCATATTCCTGATCATCAAGAATATAGACGTGGAAGAACTCCAACTCCTTTTCAAGCAATGTTATTAGGTGAAGGAAATGCTTGCACTTTACAAGTCTGGGATATTACTTGGTATGGTTTTGGTGTTGTCGGAACTGAACATATTGATCCAAAAGGTGTAACTGCATGGTGCGAAAATGAACCTAATGATTATCCATGGAAAAAGGCTCCTGAATTTCCTAAAGGCTGTATATGGGCTGCTCATGGTGTATGGGATAAGGAAACAAAAACAATATTATGTCCTGACTATTTTGCAAAAAATCCTCACACTGGTGAACCAATAAATTGGAGTCAAGATTGTTATAAACCTTTAGTCACTCGATATGCGGAATGTATTAGATCCGTACATCAGGATGCTATTATGTTTGTTCAACCTCCTATCCTTGAATTACCACCAGACATGATTAACAGTCCAAATTCTCTAAAACGTCTTATGTATTCTCCACATTGGTATGATGGGTTAACTTTGACACAAAAAAAGTTTAATTGGTATAATGTTGATGTTTTGGGTATTAAAAGAGGCAAATATCGATCCCATCTTAATGCTATCAAAATAGGTAATCATGCGATTAGAAAAAATTTTTCAGAACAAATTGGAATGACTATAAGTGAACAGGTTAACTTAGTCGGTATGTATGAAAATTTTGGTTTTTCTGATGCTTCTATTTCGTATATTATATATTTTTTGATGATGCATTAATGGAATAATATTCAATCTTATAGGTGACGTGCCGTGTGTGATAGGTGAGATAGGTATACCGTATGATCTGGATAATCGTAAAGCTTACGAAGATGGTGATTATACACAACAAATAAAGGCAATGGATGCAAACCTGCAAGCGCTTGAAAGTAATCTCGCAAATTATACTTTATGGACTTACGTCCCAGATAATAATAATGAATGGGGTGATCAATGGAACGGTGAAGACCTTAGCATTTATTCACCTCCAGAAAATAATCTCGAAAAAATTCATTCAATGATGTCAACACCAGATTCACATCAAATATTAGATATAGGAGGCAGAGCATTAGAATCTTTATTACGACCGTTTCCTATTAAAACTAACGGTGAACCATTAAGTATATCATTTGATCCTTATAAAAAAATATTTAAATACCGATTTAAAAATGAAAAATCCAATCCTGAAAAGAGCACACCAACCGAAATTTATTTACCTAGATTTCATTATCCTGAAAGAGATGATTTTTCTATTACATTCTTTAGTGGATATGCTGATTTCGAAAGAGACAGACAATTATTATTATATTGGCATGATATTGGTGACTCTTCAGACGATAGGAGTCTCAATCCTAATTTCGGAATTCATGAAATTATTGTCGAATTCAAGAAACCACTTATAGGCGGAGAAGGAATGTGGGATGACTGTTGTTAATTATAATAAATTTTATCCTTTACTTGTTACTATAGCAGATAGGGTGAGTCGGTTGGTGGATCTTCTATCTATTTTACAAATAACTTTCTTCTTGTGCATTAACGCCCCTTTGTTTTATAGTACATTAATTAATATAGAGCGAAAATTTCTTATTTAATTGTTTGTTTTTTTCCCGAGACTTATATATACTAAATAATTTTTAGTAGATTGATTGACTTTATTATCGTTTCAGTTATAAGGACTAGGTAATTTTTACATAGGAAAGGAGGATAGGATAATCCTTCCTCGCAAACTATGTATATGTATTGGGACTGTTACCATTAAAAAAAATAAAAAATAAAAATAATTCACTTTATCAACCATTAATATTGAAGTGTTATATCAGATATTGGATCGAAGCGTACATGTGAACGCTTTATTAAAGACACAATTTTAATTTTGCGTTCTGACAATTATAAAATTTTTAAAAACTGAAATTTATGGATTATATATATTAATATTAGGTTTTTATGAATCGCTTCAATTAATATTTCAAGAAGACGCGTTAAAGTATTAATAAATTCAAATGGACGCGATTTTGACCGATTCCATCGTTTGCATGTTCGTGTAGGTCTCAATTAAGATATGATTTAGCTGAATCATTTATACCATTTTATCATGGTATCTTAGTCTATGTCGCGTATAAGCATTAATTTAATACTCAAAAGTTAAATCTCGAAGGGCCAGGAAGTTCCTATTTTTTCAAGCATGTTTACAGAGTAGCTTATCTATATTGTATATATTGCTATGTGCCCGTATGATCTATATGTCTTATATATACCTTAAAAGAGCCAGGATTATAGAGTTAATTAAAAGTTTCTGTAAATCTAGTATAATTTGAATTACTTTTGGTTATTAGATATTCAAAGCATTTCAAAGGCAAGATAGTCATTGTTGTACACCTGGATAGTCTGGACAATCTGAAGTTCAACTTTTATTAAGATAGTGCTTTAATAATTTAAAAATGATATTTTATATATATTTAAAATAATACAACACTGCGGAAAAGGATCAGATCAATCTTATACGTTATTACGTTTAGGAAATAGTATTTAGAGTCTCGAATACTTTCTCAATGATATCGTCTCTATCGATAATACTACAGTCAACCGATTCACCGTAAGTCAATACCATTTTGTGCTGTCTTAGTCGAGCTAATTAACAGCTCATCTTGTTAGGGATTTTATTGGCTTAGATAGCTTAGCTTAGCTTAGCTTAAAGAAGCCATAGCCAAGCTATAACTAAGCCATGGTTCAAGCTATTGGCTACAATTAAAACTAAAACCAATAATTAATTTTTTATAACTTTAAGTAATTTTTAAATTTGGCTTAAGCTATAGCTTTAGGTTATTGGCTTGGCTTGATTTTAGCTTAGCTTCAAAAATTAACTCCTACAGGGAGATCCCCAAAATTCCGGGTCGGACGCTTCGGAACTCTTGCCGGAAGGGCCGGAGTTGATCAATTTTGCCCCAAGATCACTAAGAATTTTACTAATGAAACAATAGTCGTTCATTAAGTGAAAAGTGCCCAGCTGATAATTTTACTATAGCCTATAGCTCCCACTAACCCTAACTCAGCCCTAACCCCGACCCTAACCACGACGCATTCCGGCCATTACGACCCGGAAATCTGGGGACCCCCCTGTAGAAAATTCAAAAATTCAAATTCAAAATTCAAAATTCAAATTGTAGCTTCATGTAAAGCCAATAACATCCCTACATCTTGTGTTACGTGGAGCCGGATTGGAGCCGTTAGCTGACATTTTAGCGGGCTTTTGACTTTATCATCAAAGTTAAAATTAGTAGAATCTATTCGTACGTATACTAGACAGTTGTAATAATATGTCATAGCCACGGCTCTTGCCGGCTCGGCTAAAAAATCAGCTTAGCGGCCGTAGCCGAGCCAGAACCAGTCGTTTGCGTTACTAAAAACATAACATTTCATAAAAATCTTATGCAAATTACGTAAACATTACGCAAGCTAATTTCTAATGTAACGATAAATGATAAAGATCTAATCTTATATTTGAATTGCTAAAAAGCGGTAAAGTTTAACAGATAAAGGATAAAATTTATTTATTATAACTATGCCAATATTAATCAAATTTATAAATCTTTAAAAATAAATGTTTTACAATAAAAAAAAAAAAAAAATTAATTTGGAAATTACCGGTAAATTTCACCAGTATATTTGTTTTGGTTATATTATCAGTAGTACTTTCTTATCTTAAATTTTAAAGTTGAAACAAGATTTTAGGTAAGAGTTAGAATCCAGATAAAAGAAAGTTTAGGGTGTTGCTTTTTTTACTTAGTACTTCGAACATTAATTGCTAAAGACGTTCTTGAGAAATAGCATACCTGGTGAATTTCACCTCCGGTGAGTATTAAAATTGTCCTAAAATATATATGGGCGCTTTTCAATAGAAAGGGGGTAGATCTCCTTTTTGGCCAAAAAAATTTTATTGGCTGATTAAATAAAGCATATTCGAATATATAATTAATTAAAATATTAAATTACATTATCTTAATAATTTATTTCGATAATTAAATTTTATGTA